CCCGTGGTGAGGGTGTTTGTGGTGGCCAATAGGGTGGCCAGGATTCACCCCCCAGCTCCGCCACTGGCTGTGATTGCTTTTAGCTTCCTGTTTTAATTCCTTGTATATATTTCTAATAACATTTTTAGATTAACGGCATAAATAAATATGAACCTTTCCATACTGTCAATAAGGTCTTAACTACCCACGCTGCTCTCCCCCCATTTTTAGAAGATTCTTTAAAAGAAACACCTTGACTCCTTTTTATATTTCCAATGTTTTTAAAGATTCATAAGTAAATTATTACTTATTGATCACCCGTCCTGGTCTAAGCAATATAATATACCAACATTTCAAATTAACTTAATAACTCAATTATGTAAAACAAAACTTAATTAGTATGTTTTTAGTAATGGAATGCAACAATGTATACCATTCAGCACATAAAAGACTGTTAATATATGCATTATGCATTTAATGTGACTCGAGCGTACATTCTCCAATACGCTTCTGACTTGTCACGTTAGAATGGGTCCCACCCTGAATGCATATACAGAACCATTTTTAATCACAGTCAAGGAAAGTTACTGTTGCTAAACTTTAACTCTCTTCCACTTTTCTCTATTATAAGGCTTGTACATGCATGTACTTTTTAACACTGATAAACTTAGTGAACTGATATCGTTATTGTGTTTTGGAATGCCGATAGCCCCCGCTATACATTTCACATATGTGTATGATATTATCCAGGCACATGTACAGTCCCCTCCAAAACTATTGGAACAGCGAGGCCAATTGCTTTATTTTTGCTGTACACTGAAAACAATTAGGTTTGACATCAAAAGATTAATATGAGACAAAGGCCAGTATTTCAGCTTTTAATTCCAGGTATTTACATCTAGATCTGTTAAAAAACTGAGAAGATGGCACCTTTTGTTTAAACCCATCTTTCAAGTGAGCACAAGTATAGGAACAGAGACTTAAAATAGTGTGAAAGGTGAATAATACTTAGTATTTAGTTGCAAATCCTTTGCTTGCAATAACTGCATCAAGCCTGCGACCCATTGACATCACCAAACTTTTGCATTCTTCTTTTGTGATGCTTTTCCAGGCTTTCACCGCAGCCTCTTTCAGTTGTTGTTTGTTTTGGGGGGTTTCTCCCTTCAGTCTCCTCTTCAGCAGGTAAAATGCACGCTCAAAAGGGTTTACGTCTGGAGATTGAATTGGCCAGTCAATCTTCCACTTCTTTTCCCTGATAAACTCCTTGGTTGTTTGGGAAGTTTGTTTTGGGTCGTTGTCTTGCTGCACGATGTAGGATCTCCCGATCAGTTTGGTTGCATCTCTCTTTAAATTGGCAGACAAAAAGTGTCTGTTGACTTCTAATTTCATTATGCTGCTGCCATCATGTGTTGCATCATCAATGAAGATCAATGAGCCCGTCCAGAAGAAGCCATCCAAGCCCAAGCCATGACATCACCTCCACCATGTTTCACAGAAGAGTTTTGTGTGTTTGGGATTATGAGCAGATCCTTTCTTTTTCCACAAGTTAGCCTTTCCATCACTTCATACAAATTGGTCCCAGAACTTTTGAGCCTCGTCTCAGTACTTTTTGGCAAATTCAAATCTGGCCTTCATATTCTTATTGCTAATGAGTGGTTTGCAACTTCTGGTGTAGCCTCTGTACTTTTGTTCCCAAAGTCTTCTGCTAACCGGGGATTGTGATACCTTCACTCCTGCCCTCTGGAGGTTGTTGGTGATGGTTTCTTTACAGTTCTCACAATGTTTCTGTCATCGACTGCTGATGTTTTCCTTGGTCAACCAGTTTGAAGTCTGTTGCTCAGTATACCAGTGCTTGCTTTCTTCTTAAGGACATTCTACATGGTTGTACTGGCTATGGCCAAGGCTCTGATGGATTTTCCATCTTCTCTCAGTTTCAAAATTGCTTGCTTTTCTCCCATAGGCAGCTCTAATCTTCATGTTGGGTACACCGTTTTTCAAACAATGACAATTTTGAAGCAAAGAAGAATAGAGGAAAGTTCAGTGCATCTTTGAATTCCCAGTCCTCAAACTTAAATATGATTCAGGTTTAAAATCTAAAGCATATCATAAAATATCAGAGAAGTAGTGTATAACAGGTGAGAAAATCTAAAGTTCATTTGTTCACATTCTGATGAAGCGTGTAGTAGAATCCAGGTTAGATGTTTTTACAAACTGTTCACAATTGTGCATTTGGTGTGAGACTGGAGAACGGTTTGGATACGTTTAAGCACAAAAATATGTTAGAAGTTAGGAAACGAGCAAGATAACAAGAAAACAGTAACAAGCTAATGTTTGGGAAATGCAAGTGGGATGGAAATATAACAAGTCCAACTCATACGACCAAATAGGTTGATTGTTCAGCAGCTTATTACTACATGTAGTCACGTTTTAAAGTTTAGCAACTCTAGTGGTCGTGTAAGAAACAACAATTTGCGGCAATTGCAAACGCTCCGGAGGGTCGTATATTCACAAATAACCCTCTCTGGAAAATCCTAAATTGTAGAATATAGGGCTGTCAGTCGATTAAAATATTTAATCGCGATTAATCGCATGATTGTCCATAGTTAATCTTAATCGCACATTTCTTTTCTGTTCTAAATGTACCTTAGAGGGATATTTTTCAAGTTTTTGATACTCTTATCAACATATGAGTGGACAAATATGCTTTATATGTTTGTTTACTATCATTTGTACAATGACAAATATTCTCATGAATATTAAACACAACAACCTCTGAACATTACAAATATTCGCCTCAATTCAACCTGGAACCTCTCTCATACAATAATACAATACTGTGTGTGTGTGTGTGTGTGTGTGTGTGTGTGTGTGTGTGTGTGTGTGTGTGTGTGTGTGTGTGTGTGTGTGTGTGTGTGTGTGTGTGTGTGTGTGTGTGTGTGTGTGTGTGTGTGTGTGTGTGTGGAGAGACACTGTGATGGATCGTTGGAGCTATGTGCAGCTCAAGGCATATATGCTCGAACGGGAGCTGCCTGGACGCTGCAATCATGTAGCGCGCACTATCCGTGCTGAGTGTGCTGACTTTTCGTACAATGTCCCACTGTCTGGCTACCTGCATAAAGTCAAGTGCTCGGCGCAGTTGTCGGCGAAATGTCGCTCCTCTGTTTTCATTGAAACAGCTCCTTATATCCGTTAGCGCAGCTAGCTAGCACCAGATGCTAACAACAACAACAACACGTAAGGTATGCCTCGCTCGCGAGTCGCGCCACACATACACACTCCCTCCCGGTCCTCCCGATGGCCAGTCCGGGCCTGCCGGTGAGCGCGGAAGTGTGGTCTGCCACAAGCGGGCGGCAGGAGCGGGGCAGTCAGCATCAGCTTGTCGATGGTATTTTAAACTCGATGCGCTCTGAAACTACGGGGCGGCCGAGGACAAAAAATACACATGCGTTAATCGCGTTAAAATAATTAGTGGCGTTAATTTTTTTTTGCGTTAACGCATTATTAACGCGTTAACTTGACAGCCCTAGTAGAATAGTTTGACCATTAAAATGCTTTTTGATTAGATTTCTAGCGAGAAGTGTATATTGTACTTTTAGAATCCACGTCCAGTGGATGTGTAGGATCTATAGTTTGATAAATATTACGAAGATTATTTGAGGTCTCGCCAGGAGAACGTGCATGTCTTTCCCCCTATGTAAAGTTAGCGTCAACCCTCACGGGGTGAAAACAGTATTTCCGGTCTCGAAGTTTTCATAATAAAACCTTATTCCCCTCACTGTCAAATGATTTCACAGTGATATCTGCCATACTCATCCACTAAAACACATCAGTTTATGTGATTACACGACATTAATTGGTTTAAATTGTGTACACTGCTTTTCCCATAGGTTTTTCCCTTTCGATTCTGAGAGATACATTTCTTTTTTCAGAGGTTTTGATAAGCTAAAACATCGAACTACCCATAATCCTCAGCTATCGTTGAAGCTCGGTGATTGGATGTTTTAGCCGCAATGCACGTTGGGATATGGTGTTTATGTAATGTGAAATCCGAAAACATTAAAAAAAATAATTATAATACTTTATTCCGAGTGTGCTTGCTTTTTTCTTTGAAAGTCATCACATAACACGGTTACACGTAATACACGGTTCGGCTGCATTAAATATTACACATCTGCCGTAGTTCTTTATTTATAGTGCCCTGATTAGAAGACCTTTGGACAAACTGGAAGAAATGCCGCCGAAACTGAATATCTGACGTGGATCATAAATATATCAGCAATTAAACAACATCTTCAATTTCTCTTCACACAATACGTCTCCTTGCAGTATCAATACTAATTCGGCTGACTTTTATATTTGATCCAATTGGTAGCTTATAGAAAATGACTTTTTTAAAGATATTACTGATTTTCTTTGAATTAAAGAATGTAAATACTGAGTTGAGAGAATAGTCAGGGGTTTTGGGTGATGGGTGACACATCTATGGAATCAGATAGCTTACCATTAAATGATAGCTTAATAGCTATCAATAGCTTACCATTAAATGACGGATATACCTCAGATATTAATGTGTAGAACTACAATATGTGAAATAATATATCCTGTAAAATTATGTGAAAACATGAATACAACTACACATCTTCAGATATTATACATACATAAGTGTCCTACACTAATAATATAAAGTTATTATGGCATTGTATGCTGTGTGTTATTTGTAACATCTTCATAAAGTATAATTTATTGTGTTAACACTGTAAACTTAACAGTTTTTTAACCCGCACCGCCTAGTGGTTAAAGCACGCTATTGCATTTTTTTATTGAATATGTTATATTTGATGAAAACATTTAAATATTAAGAGTAGCCTACATACAAAATAGGGGGAAAGTAGAAGGTCAATGATAGAAATATAGAATAGAAAATATCAAGAAGATCTCTACAATAAATCAGCTAGTGCAGGACGTCCAAAGATATGAATTCAGGACAGGCTGAAATATAAAATGGACAGTAATATCTCCTGTCAGTCACACACCTTCTCCCTACACGCATTTTATTAACACTTTCATATCACACTCTTTATTCCTTAAAGACAGTCATAATTCATATGACCACTAAAGATCATTGTCAACATAAACAAAAGTCATTTTAAACAAAAGACAAATGCAATGGGTTCAAATCTCAGGACTCATGTCTTATGTTATATGAGTCTGTGTGTTTCTCTAGAAAAACATTTTGAGGGCAGGCAAGTTTAATATATACTGAAACAGTCAGATCACAAAGAAACTAAATACTATGTGGTTATACTCATATGTCAAAAAATACCCACAACTTTATGTTGGATCTTCGGGGTATCCATTCCAAATCTTAATTTACTTTGGTGAAAAGCAACTACCAAGAAAGTGATGAGGGATAATTTCCACATATCTATCAGTGTTTGATAACACCACCATGATATTGACCACATGTGGTCATTGCAAAAATGATATGCGTCTAAGATATGAAATGTCAGAAGAACCATGACATTTTCAGCTTCTCTCAAACCAGACGTTCTCAACATTTTGAATGTTGTGGGAGAAGTTAACCAGCTCGCCTCTAACTAATAGCATTAATAACAGCCTCCTGGTGAAAGAAAATAGCATACTTGAGTTCTTAAAAACATACACTATACATAACAAGAACCACATTATTACTGCAATTAAGTCGTTGATATTATTCTTATTACTATTATTATTAAACATTAAAATGCAGCCAGGCACAAAGCTTCCGGCTGTGAATTTATCGTAAAGAAAAAACTTAAAGTGACATGCAAACGTTTTTCTTCATCCTCTCTTCGGCTTCCTCGTCTTCGATGCCATCATCAATGCAGTATGTTTATTAAAAGGAAGGACTTTTTCACAGTTTCTTGTCCATCTCACAGCAGTGAGAGCTCCCATTGGCTCAGGTTTCAGTATCAGCAGCTGCCATTGGCTGAGCATGGAGAGCTCTGATTGGTTCTCAGTCTGTTTGGCACATTATCCAGTTGGCTTTAGAACTCATTTGACAATAATATGTGCATGTGCACGTGCAAATGTTAGGGTAGAAGTGTGTATGTGCTGAGGTATGTCAGTGTGTAGTGGGGTTGTGTATAGGTGTAGGATCTGTATTGTGAGCTGACCTATAGACAGGGGTGGGCAGGATCTTTTTTAAATTGTATTTGAAGCACCATATTTATATGAACATATATATATATATAATATATATATCTTTTGATAACACTGCACAGATAATTTGTCCTGTTTTGACATTATTCCAAACATTATGAAATACTTATTTTATTCCGCAAGCTGTTCCACCATTATCCATCCTCTAAGCTTGTGTAACCAGGGACCAGCTGTAACTGAGTCTCAGCCTTTTCAAGCCCCTCGCTATATTGGGGCTTATTGCCCCAAGTAAAATATACTTGAAATGGTCTGCAAATGTAACTTACAGCATCATAACTGATATTTGAATTATGCACATATCTGTAGTCACTGTGCCTAGCTGGGCTGTGAGCCAAACCCCTCCTGAGGACTGAGCAGCTGCTTTATTGGCTGGAGGATACAACATGTGGCCCTTTGAAAGCTTGCAAAGTCAACTGTACCACAGAGACAACAGCCACAGTGAAAGAACATCCACATAACCCAAACTGTGTCTGGCCATTAGCTGATGTAGCGCTCTGCAACACTAGACTAAAGCCCTGTCCTGGGGTCAAGCTGTCCACCCTGCTGGACAACGTGTCAGTGGTCCAAACTATTTCAATGGCTTACGTTTTTTATAAAAATTCCCGCTGAAAACTGATGTTCTACTTTTTGCTTATAAGTTTTAGGATTTTAGGCTTTGTTTCCGCCCATCCCTGTGTATAGTCTATGTACAATACCAGTGTGTGTGTGTGTGTGTGTGTGTGTGTGTGTGTGTGTGTGTGTGTGTGTGTGTGTGTGTGTGTGTGTGTGTGTGTGTGTGTGTGTGTGTGTGTGTGTGTGTGTGTGCGCGTTTATCAGTCCATGCATCCCTTGGGTTTGGTAAAAGACTCTACTAATTAGGAATTTTCAGGCAGAATTAAGAAAAACAATTAAGAACAATAACACCATTATCATATCTGTTATTACATTTACTATTATTTTATGGATGTGATTTTTTCAGGACATCCGTCTTTGTTCAAAGCACTTTAACCAAGACTCTTTTTTTATACACACAATTCCTGATCACATCCCTGATTAATCTTGTTATTGCATTATCGTCAGCATCACTGTTGTCCTTAGTCTCTAAAGCCTCCATGGCAAAAATCTACGAAACAATTATGTGTTTGTTTAAAAAACTGTCCACTGTGCTTAATTGTTTTTTTATGAATTATAAATGACCAGCCATCTTTTTGCTGATGGTTCAGTGATTCACTTTGTAGGTCGGCAGGTCTTTGCTAAAACCTGACAGCCAGTGGTGGGGGGACAACTTGTGTCCAGTCTTTGTAGGCGAAATGATAAATAGTAAGATCAGGAGTCCTCAGCGTGATATGATTGGGAAACTCCAGATTGAAAATCAGGGTAGATCACCCATGGTGAGTGGTAATTGGTCACCAACGGAGATGACAAGCATTTCCACTCACTGTCAGAGGGCAGGAGGATGTGTGGCGCGGCTGTAAGGCACTGGCATGGGTCAGGTCAGGACAGGTCAGTCATGCTGAGGCTCATGGGTAATCCTGGACGGAGGTAAGCCACCGGGACACGACCATTCTCACCGGTCGATCCTGTGATGGATAGACGAGCTTTGGAGCGCATCGCATCTGTGAATTTCATCTGTACAACAAAAAAAAGTTTTAATCATGAAACCCAAACAACAACTACCTAGAAAAGATGTTCTAACACAACACTTACCCTAAAGGAATGGTTCATTGTTTTGGGAAATGTGCTTATTTACTTTTTTTACAAGAGAAGATTTATATCAATCTCATGTCTGGAAGAAATTTAAAAACTGGTTTCAGTGATAGCGTTTTTCCTAAATTCCTGAACAATTCCTTAAAATGATTATCAACCTCATGTGATTTAAATGCATTGTGGTGTGGACTGTAACGTAGAAAATAATTTGAACTTATCTTGAGTGTGGAATTAAATGTATTATTAGAAAAGCAATCATCTTGCATTTTCTTTAGACTAAAACTTATTTTTCTTAATAGACTTGAATATTTGTACAGTGTCCCCCTTCAGAAGTCTCTGCAGTATACTCCTGACACTGGTTTTATTATTACTATATTATCGCATTTATTCTGCATTTAATATTAGTAAACTTTGAATAGGGAATAGAGAATGTAACATAACCTCTGTTTGCAGCCGAGGGGAACAGGCTGTTGTTATGTAAACTAAAAATAATCCCCCTTGGCCTACTGGTTCTAAAATGACCCAGAAATGTGCATGGGTTGATCAAAAATCATGTTTTTTACACAGTTTCTTCTTGTTCAAGTTTTCCATACTCACTGTGCACATGACAAACAGGCAAACTGAGTTAGGTTTACTACATTGAAGAGCATGTGCAAGCAGCACACTACTCGTTTTTTTACTTTTTAAAAACATGAGATTATACATGCATTGGCTAAGTGTTCTGTTCATTATTTCATTTCTGGATTAATGCCACCAGATGTTCACCTTTGGCAGGTACCATTGATTTATTAATGTTGAACAAATCCTTTATCATGGCCCTTTTTTATAGCTAGCTATGATTTTTTAAGAATATTTAATGTATGACTAACAACAAACGTTATACTAATGTGGTATGAATGTGAATAATGAATACAAATACACACTTTGTATTTGTATTCATTATACAATGTTCTAGCAATGCGCAAAAGAGACGGCCGTTTTATATAAAAAACAGGAACATGAGTGTTTTAAAAAGCTTCCACAGACAGGCCTTTCACAAATAAAGGTACAATTACAGTATCATCACAATTAATGTAAAGACATCATTCCAGAACTTTTTATATAAAATTAATCTCATCAACATTAAAAAATGTTGCAACTTAAAATTCTCCTAACATATTTTCCCTTTTGTTACCGCAATGTTTAACAGTGTCATTTTAGTGTTCCTTTCAAGACCTGGTCAGGGAAAGCTTTGGTAAGAAAGTATGTTCTCTCTGTGGCCACATATTGCTGCCTGAATCTTTTTTATTCAAGCATTTAAAAATTGAGGACAGCTCTTTACAAAGAAAGATTAAATAATCTTTCTTTGTTAAGAGCTGTCCTCAATTTTTTGTTTTTTCACTAAAACACTGTACTTATCAACCTTGACAACATAAAGTACTCATTCTAAAGACAGGAGCTCTGAAAGCAAAACTCAGTGTACTAAAACCTTGTTTATTATATATCTTCATCTTATTAAATAACTAACGACTGTTTCATTATCTTTCCTGTCAACTGAGCAATGAAGAAAAGTTTCCTTTTAAACCAGCATTTTCTTGAAGCGTCAGCTTTAATGTCAGACGATGACAGACAGGGGAGTCTTGTGGGAGGAGAGGTGGTGGGAATCTATCTTTTGAGCTGTCTTTTCACTCTCCTCATCTAGACGCAAACTCTTTGTTCCTGTTCAGGTTTCTTCTTGAAGATATTATAAATATATACCTTTCTGCTCCCATCTATCCACCTAGCTCCACTCACACTTAATACTTTGTCACAGGAGGCCTGTGGAACTGCCGCTCTGCTACTTGAAATATTGAGTTCAGTTCTGGCTATGCCTTCCCACAATCCCTGGATGCTCTCACTGAAGCTTGATCACAGCAGATGGTACCTCCACTCCTGCTGCTCTTTTCACCAGCTTACTCCCTGACCTACCGGCAGAGGAGGCGGCACTGGATTACTGATCTCAAATGATCTCAAGATATCAAATTATAAATATAATAGGATGCCATATTATCTGCCCTGAGATTCAAAATTGCATTTAGTTGTGCAACTGTGTTGCAACATTACAATTAGTTATCATTCAAGCATTTAGGCAGTGGTCCCAAACCATTGGTCTGGGGACTGGTACTGCTCCGTGGGTTATTTGTTATCAGGCCGCACAGAAAGATTGAATAAAAACATATTTTATTGATTATCAGTTTGAAATATGTGTTATTTTGGAAAATGACTGGATACATCCGACTGAGCATCTGTGTCTGTTGACAAGACGCTCGTCTCAGTCACGTGATACTTTACTTCAAAAAAGAAAAGAAAGCGCGCAGGCGCGAACTCATTGATGAACAGGTGGCCTTAAAAGTATGTTTCCCACAACAACTCTGCCGGTGTTCTGGATTAAAATCATGGCAGATTATCCTGAGATCGCCAAAGAAGCACTGAAAACCCTGTTTCTATTTCCAACATCCCGTCTTTGTGAAGCGTTTTTTCCCCCAGTCTAAAGATTTTGTTCAGAAATCTATCGCCCAGCCCGCCTTCATATTTGTTTATGCCTGATGTATCATTTTATTTCGTCATATCTATCCCCCACACCTTGAAGGCCCGTCCGTGAACTATTGTCTTACCGGTCCATGGCGCAAAAAAGGTTGGGGACTGCTGAGGACCTTATTACCTATTAACTATTGCTTACTTCAACATTATAAAGCGTTACCACATTTTTATTTGAGATATTCTTTTAAATTGAGACCCATTCCTATGGCATGCATACCCAACATGAGCTGCTAATGATTCTCGTTTAAAAAACATTTCACCAAGAAAAGAAGAGGGAGATGAGGAGAGTGAGATAGATATGAATATAGAAAGCTAGCTTTAATGAGTGGGTGATCAGCAAATAGCAAACGTGCATAAGGTCAATTGTGGGGGGATGTTACAAATCAATGAACAGAATTGCTTGATTGCTTGGAGTTTTGCATCATAGTAATACAATCTTTGATTATTATTTCATATGAATATAGCTGAAATGAACCCACTCACTGTGCAGCTCTTAGCAGTGTGTTAAATGGTAAATGGACTGTACATACAGTCTTCTCGACCCATCAAGGCGCTCTACATACTACCAGTCATTCACCCATTCACACCCAGCACCACTTGCTAGAGCAAGAAAGGCCTGTCTGTGAACTAACATTTATACACACTCACACACCGTTGGCCATCGGGAGCATCTCAGGGGTTCAGTATCTTGCCCAAGGACACATTGACATGTTGACTGCAGGGCTGGGATTGAACCCACAACCTTCTGGTTGAGAGAAGATCGCACTTTCTCCCAGCCACAGTCCCCAGTGTTAATTGAAGATATTAGTTTTATTCTTCACCATTTTATAAAAAAAACAAAAAATATGTCTCATTAGAATATGGTATAAATCTATACATTTTGAAAACGGAGGTAAAGAGAGAGACATAAAATACAACAACTTTGACTGAGGCCACTCAATGCAGTGAGATGTACTGTAGCATTACAGGACCAAAGCATCATGAAGTATGTTGCAGTATGGGCAAAAGTGAAGACACATTTGAGGCAGATGAAACCATTGAGGACCATTGATATGTTGTGAATGAGTATGAATTCTGGTTTGGAGGAACTAACATTATCTTTGTGTTAAGGATACCTGGCCATGGTGCCTGATACATCATATAACTCAATAAGCTTTGGGCTACTTTCCTTTTGAAATAATTTGTTATGAGTTTAGCTTTTGTTTGCTGAAGGAGAGAAACAATGTTCAATACATGTAATATAGGATATCACTTTGTTGTGAGGCTTAACTAAAATATGGTGGTGTACCTCATTCCTATCCTTAAAGGAACAGAAATGATATTGATGTATACAAGTAGATTCAGTTCATTCACTCGGTAGAGAATAAGAGACATCTCAACAAGCCAATCCCCAACACTAATGCATTGTGGTCCAAGCAGAAACATCTAGAAGGTTAAACAGAAACAACAGTTGAGAAGCTGAAGTAGGGGAGTAGGAAGTGGAGTGGCTGTGCTCCATCCGTCGACGGTCTCTATTCTATTGATGTGTTGTTATGGTGAACCTATCTTCAGAGGATAAGGATAATGAGTGTGCAAGGGCCGGCCTTGATTTTGTTTCCAGACTAATTTACGTATTACATACGTAGACATTACGTATGTCTAGGTGGGAAAGATTTGCCGAGTGAGGTGACAATAGAAGTGTCTTCTGACGCTAACATGTGTATAATGGGGTACAGTTCTCCTGTTTATTTAAAACAACCACATTCTGGCTGGGTCTCCTGACTTTGAGGGGAAGGTTATGTCATGCGACAGAAGTTTTCCCCATGTCTTTTCCACGTTGACCCACTATTCCAAGGTTGAGTGCCCAGGTTCAGCTCATCCTTCCCTAAAGGCAGACTTGCTAGTCCTTTCTGTTGTAGAAATCAAAATAACTCAGGTGAAGTATAAATGTGCACCTGGGCCTCACATTTGTCCCCACAGTGTCTTCCATCAGGCCATGCAGAGCTGTGACATCCCATACTGTATGTGTTGTAACAGGTCAATCATCTCAAAAGCAACAGTGGTGTTCATCACAGCAACACAGCTGTGTTTTATTAACGCTGTTTGATAATGCTGCCGTCCAAACCATCCTATCCTGAAAATGAAATCATGGGACTGCCTAGTGAAAAGCTGACATCACGGCAGATGGAAGTGATCGGTCAGAGAGTCGGTCCATAAAAGAGGATGATTGGCTCAAACGTAAGAAAGTTTGATCAGGGAACTAAACAAAGTCAAAATGGAAAAGCAGATGGGAAAGAGGCTGAGCAGAAGAGAGGAGTGTAAAGAAGGAAGCGGGACAGAGGAGTGAGAGGGAGTGAGGAGAGGTTATGAGTGGACAGAGGAGTGAGAGGGTGTGAGGAGAGGTTATGAGTGGACAGAGGAGTGAGAGGGAGTGAGGAGAGGTTATGAGTGGACAGAGGAGTGAGAGGGAGTGAGGAGAGGTTATGAGTGGACAGAGGAATGAGAGGGAGTGAGGAGAGGTTATGAGTGGACAAAGGAGTGAGAGGGAGTGAGGAGAGGTTATGAGTGGACAGAGGAGTGAGAGGGAGTGAGGAGAGGTTATGAGTGGACAGAGGAATGAGAGGGAGTGAGGAGAGGTTATGAGTGGACAGAGGAGTGAGAGGGAGTGAGGAGAGGTTATGAGTGGACAAAGGAGTGTCACAGCCATACACAGGTTAGATCATATCCAGATACTTTGCATGTTGCTTTTGTTTATCAAGAACAACTGCTGCATTCCTGAACATCTAGTGAATCATACCATCAGCAGTGCCAGTCAACCTCAGTTATTACTTTTGTCTTCTTTTTATGATCATTTTAACATGCAAAAAGTATAACATAATAATACCAACATTAATAAATTGGAAACAAAGCAGTAGCGTAAGCTCTTCGGAACTGAAGCTTGGCATCGAATTAAAAAAACATCCTAAAATGTTTGCATAAAAGTCATTATATTGTAAATGTATATGTTGCAATTAAAAAAAAAATAGGCCCAGACAATTTTTTGCCTTAAATAAAACGGTTATCTTTTCTATGAGGCCTCAATACCACTTTTTAAGATAACTACTGTTTTCATTGTTTAATTATCTCTTCTTTGATTTTGTCATTCAATGCCACAACTGCCATTAAAACTAAACGCTCAACAGCATACCAGATCAAGTTCCACTTTGAACCATTGGCCATATTAAAATGCAATGTGTCCTTGAAGCTGCTAGGCACCACCATAATGATACTGCAGCTGCTGTTTGATGGTATGAATGGATACCAATTGAAAGTTAATTCTAAACAATGTGTATGACTGTGAGGTGAGGAAAGTTTCAGCCATCAATCATCACTCTCCTACCCGTGTTAGATCTTGACACTCTCAATGCCGTAAACGTTGTAGCCCTCTTTATAGGTGGCGTAGTTTGGCTGGTGGCTGGGGGACAGCAGGTTGAAGTTGGGGGCATGTTGAGGAGAAGACAAAGTGTGTGTGTAGTTTCCTGTGTGCTGGGGGGAGGACAATGTGTTGGCTGCCACCTTCATAACAAAAATAAAATGATTGGTATTACTATACTGTGCTTATTGAACAAATCATCTTTAGAAGTGTGACCAATAATAGTTTACTGCAGAGAGAGAGAGGGAGAGATTTGTATTACCCCATCTCTAAAAGGGCTGACAAACTTCACCCTCAAACTTACAGATGAATTATCATGAACAGTATGAGTAATGCCAAAATGCTTTCCTTCCTTACCAAGCACAATGTCTGCAGTAAAACATTTAACCCCCACACATCCTTCTTTTTTTCCCTTTTTTTCCTACACACACTTCTTCAAAACTACACCACAAATAAAAGAGGGAACACATTTTGATGTTATAGTGACAATGTGTTTCACAGTAGGCTTTTTATAAAATGATCAAGTTGCCACTGGTGCTTTTATAAAGTGGTGTAGGGGGTAAGAGTTATGACATTATTAAATGCATTAGGAATTGGCTCCAAATGAACTGAAATGTTGAACTGAGGTCGAGTAAGACAGGGACAGTCGGAGTACAACACTGTTCACATGAACCAATAATCAGTCTGTCGCCCAAGGCTCATCCTTCACAGCATTGCAGAGATATTTAAATAACTGCTCTTCATCAACGATCTAGTTCTGTTCCAACATATAAGTGTTTACCCAGAGCCTGTCCCACCTACAGCTGGAAGAAGAGGACAAAGGGACACTGAGAGTGAATGTGGAAGAGATTATGGTATTTCAGAGGAGAGTAGATCTCAGGGAAATAGGCCGAGATACAACTTTTTCTGGAAAACACCAAGCTACGACAAAGTTATCATAGGGGTTAGAATGAGTGCATCAGGGAGATTTATCTTGGCCATAAACACACTCTGCAACAAAGCAAAGCCAATTCGGAAAAATGAATATCCCCACAAGAATTTGGGTAAATATTTGAAATGAAACACAAATGATGTCTTATGGACACAAAACATGAAGCCCTATTTTAAAACTAGACACTTGGACAAAACTCCTCCTGAAAATATAAATTGGAATTTTGTAAAATCATTTAAAGGAAAACACCTCAAGCAATGAGTGTAGCGCACTGTGAAAATCATAATCCAAAAACACATATTATTGTGAGATTATTGAGATTAAAATATATTGCACAAATACAAATTCCTCTCTTTTCAATTACTGTAAAATATGAAAAAAATATAAAAGCACATTTTTACAAAAAACAGAGTAGGACCACATAATTGCAATAGTGTTTGTACACACTGACACGAGTACATTTCTTATTTACTTTATATAAAATATTCCAAATATATTGTAAGAATTATTACAGGGATAAGTTTATTTTTTTTGTTTCGGGAAGAAATGTAATCAATATGAGATACCAAATCTGGAGCACAAAGTCAATGTCCATAGCAATTATGCATGTAGCTAGTACACATGGTAAAAACATTTATATTAACTATACTTGATAAGTATTAAGGGGTTCCAGAGAATCTTTCATTTCTGGGTAAAATGTGAGTTTTACCCCGAAAGGCAACTCGATATAAGGAACATGAGGGCGTAATGTATTTAAAAGTGTGATGCACCATAGTGCATCACACTTTTAAATACATTACGCCCACATTACGCCCTCATTTATCTTAATATAGCAACCCGTATGGGTGAAAAGGTTTTTGCTGTGCAGCACACACCATTGAGTTACTGTGAGCAACTTAGTTGGGATTTAGGTGCTAAAAGGCGAGAAGACCAAAATAAAGCTAAAAGTAATTCAATAAAAGTAAGTAACTGTTTGCCAACAAGTTTTACCATCTTTAAAGGTTGATGTAGACAATGTACAGCAAAACAAGTTATTGTATGTTTAAATCATATACTGGCAAATACGGAAACAATGAATCACTACTAATTGGGCAATCCTCGACAAACCCTTAACACCATAGGATTTTTCTTAAACTCTAAAAACATATCTCAATACACAGAGCTCATCCCAATATAAACTATAACTCAATCAAACTACAACATGAATTGCAAAAATAGGTTACCTTCATTTTTTTGGCCTCAGCACGGCTCTTGTAGCAGAACTCTACCAGAGCCACCATCATGGCCAGACCCAGACCTCCAACCAGTATATAGAAGACCCCTGCCACGTTACTGAGAGACAGGGCGCTGGTTTTCTCCTACACACACACACAAACACACCCACACAAACACACCCACACACAAGAGCAAATAAAGAGGATAGCCATCAAGAAAAAGTATTTTAACAAGGTGTTTTTAAGGTAACAGCAATCTGTGATGACTGACACACTATTTACTGTTTCAATTCAATTTTCTCCTCATTAGGCAGCATTAAAGTGAATAAAAAGGTCATTTGCACAGTCAACTAGTCATAAATACAGATTTAAATTGGGACTGCACAAATACATTAAAAATGACCTGCACAATATAAAGCATCCTTTATCAGTTTGTCTGTATTGACCTTGTAATGTTTATTTGTATGCATGTCTGGCTTATGTTTAGTGATGTCACTATGTTGACAGAACTCAGTAGTTACTTTGGTGATTACAAATATATCATAACTGATAGAAACCAGGGAAAATGTTGTTCTTGTTCACCCTATCTGACAGCAAGAGGCAGTGTTAAACAATGGATGTTATCCATCCTGTGCACAGGCAAGAAGAGTATTTTATATCAACAAATTCAAATGTGGCCTTAGATGTATGGATGGAGGTCTGCTCCACCTGTACCCAGTACTATGAAGCAGATTTTGGGGTTAGCGAGGTAACTTCAGGGTTAACTCTGAGTTAGAGAGGTAACTTCAGGGTTAACTCTGGGTTAGAGAGGTAACTTCAGGGTTAACTCTGAGTTAGAGAGGTAACTTCAGGGTTAACTCTGGGTTAGAGAGGTAACTTCAGGGTTAATTCTGAGTTAGAGAGGTAACTTCAGGGTTAACTCTGGGTTAGAGAGGTAACTTCAGGGTTAACTCTGGGTTAGAGAGGTAACTTCAGGGTTAACTCTGGGTTAGCGAGGTAACTTCAGGGTTAACTCTGGGTTAGAGAGGTAACTTCAGGGTTAACTCTGGGTTAGAGAGGTAACTTCAGGGTTAACTCTGGGTTAGAGAGGTAACTTCAGGGTTAACTCTGGGTTAGCGAGGTAACTTCAGGGTTAACTCTGAGTTAGAGAGGTAACTTCAGGGTTAACTCTGGGTTAGAGAGGTAACTTCAGGGTTAACTCTGGGTTAGCGAGGTAACTTCAGGGTTAACTCTGAGTTAGAGAGGTAACTTCAGGGTTAACTCTGGGTTAGAGAGGTAACTTCAGGGTTAACTCTGGGTTAGAGAGGTAACTTCAGGGTTAACTCTGGGTTAGAGAGGTAACTTCAGGGTTAACTCTGAGTTGGAGAGGTAACTTCAGGGTTAACTCTGGGTTAGCGAGGTAACTTCAGGGTTAACTCTGAGTTAGAGAGGTAACTTCAGGGTTAACTCTGAGTTAGAGAGGTAACTTCAGGGTTAACTCTGGGTTAGCGAGGTAACTTCAGGGTTAACTCTGGATTTTCGGTCCTACGGCGCTGGTTCACTTGGTTCTCCATTATGCTGAACACCTAACCTGCTCCGGAGCATGTTCCAGATAAGAGATCAACTCAGTGAAAGCACCGCCTGCTGACCAATCAGAGCTCTGTGTGTTTAAAGCTATCAAGTAATATTACAGGATTAAGGAAATACAGTTTAAACTGCTGTATGCAGGAAAGACAGCCGGCAAAAATCACCGACTGTGTGAACATGAAAATGAATAGAATATCACTGCCCATCTTCAGAGCAATCTGACTATTATTACATTTGCAAGCTTACTTAAATATCTGCCACAACATAAGTAACCGGAGCAAAGTAACTCAGAGCATTGCGTACAGTGTGGCATTTATCATTATCACATCATCAATCACATCATATCACATCATCAATCACATCATAATATATATTTCCTTATATGTATCAGCTTCTCGAACCCTATCTGGCCGTGCAACACTTAAATTATCACACTGTATGCAGATGTGTTATTTAGAACAACACTTTAAGTTGACGAAACACTCAAATATAATTCACTCAGCCAGACAGAGAAACCCTGGGTTGATTTACCGGGTTGATAACCAGCGTCGTAGGACCGCTTAGCGAGATCACGTTTGTTAGGGTTAGTTAAGCCAGATAACTCAAACATATCCAGGGTATGTTGAACTGGATTTGATGTACAGGCCACAGGCACCATGGTATCAATACACTATAAGGGTCCTTACATTTGAGCTATTTTCAATACATAATCTGGAAATACCATAAATCTGCTAGCATAAATGTAAAAAAGTCCTTTAGTCCAAACAAATATTTCCTGTATGTATGACCCTATGATTTAAGTTTTGTTTTACTGCCAATCACGGGAATATTGTGTATAGAATGTACCTACCTATGAAGGCAACATTATGTATTTATGTCTTAATGTGTGCATATGTATAAATGTGTCTGTTGATTGTGTATATATAGGATATACATCTTTTTATACATATTTTTATATATATTTGTATTTTTGTATTCGGGATTGTGGGAAACGGTATTTCGATCTCTCTGCTGTACACACAAAGAAAGATTGAGAATACAGTTGACTTTGACTGAGGAAGGGCCCTAGGTTTTCTTTATTTTGCTATCATGATTCCAATTGTACCACCCTCCCAGCTACTGCCAGCTCCACAAATGCTGAGCAAGACCGTCCATCTTTTCTCCTCACACCTTGCCTTTCATGCAGAATTCCAAAACTTGACTGGGCTTGGTGCTGGTTTTAGATCCATCTATGACTTCCCTCCCTTTCTGTCACCCGAGAAGGTCTGCCCTAGAGTTGCCTTAAAGAAGACTTTAAATCAAGTGTTATGATATGACATGCATGGGCCATGTTGGGAGCTCCCTGTCCAATCTGATGTTAACCCTGTCCCAGTCATTGCAGTCAGACACTTCTGTCCAGAGTGTCACACAGCGTCCACACGGCGGCGTGCGTTGAAGCTTGCAGGTGGGCGTGTCTGAAACTCGACCAACAACCAATCACATGAATCTCCCGCCCCGGACACAAGGGAACGCGGTTTGATTGGCTAGAGCTTGTGCTGGCATATGATTTGATTGGCTGACGCTTCCGTCGAAGCTTCAAAAGTTGAACATTGCTCAACTTTTGAAGCAACCAACGCGAAGCGACGCTCCCACAATGCAGTTCGGCGAAGCGTGACGTCATCCCATTCAAAGTGAATGGGCAGAAGCGTTGAAGCTTCAACGCACGCCCCGTGTGGACGGGCCGTCAGTGATACATCTCTGATTAGGGGGCTGACACTCTCTTGGCACTCCTCCAAAGTTCTGAACCTGTTTGGCCCAGCAGCAGAGAAGGCCTTGGAGCATGATATCCAGGCATACCAGCCTAGTCTGCAGTTTCTTGTTGAACAGCATAAGCTCCAATCAGATGTATTGACTGAGGGAGATATCAATAAACTCACTTAATTGTACTGCTAATGTAACTGGGCGCATAAAGATTGTCTTGTATTTTGGGATCCTAGTAGTCAAGGTAAATGTTACGTGGCCAAAAATAAAAATCACAGATCTAAAAAGATCTATACATATAATAAAGATGCGTCATCCCGTAATAAACATGCCATGTCCTGGAGGGTTGACGTGCTGTTCAAGGTTGAGAGTCGTTTATCTCCTTCAAGAGGTCAGGCCCCACTAGGGTGACCAGGTGCCAACAAGCCACAAGTGGGACAGAGAGTATGTTTGTGTGGGACAATATGGGACATGTAAATGCAATGTTAATATTTCGATATAATGTCCATGTCACCCTAAAAGGTAGCTTATAAATAACAATGATTTGATATAGGTTGCACACACAGCAGGTAAATTGAAATTGATTGAATTAATGGATTTATTTCTCTGAACAATATAACAAAAAACAAACTGACAACTGACTTACAGTCAGGAAAAATGACCGGGGCTAGCTTACTCCCAGTCTGCTGACAGTCTGTACGACTGAGAGTGCTGTACAGTGTGGTACACATTTGTCAACTCAGCTGCTGTTACATTGTCCGTTTGGCAATCCTCCTTCGGTTTTAACATAAATGAGTCCATCGACCGACATTTTTCCTTTAGAGCTAGACGTTTCTTATGATTTTCACAAGCAATGTGTCTCTTTAAATCGTACTCTCCTCCGTGTGCGATTGAGAAAGAATGGTACAACACACTCTCTGGGAATCTCCCTCCATCGGTTTCACCCACGAATAAGTACCTTCCCAGGCTTTGTTGTAGCTGCATTTTCTTTTTCCCAGGCTCCATTTTACACCACCAAAGGTTTATCCCGCTATTTTGTTCTATTTTATGCCGGTAAAGGGGCTCCGTGTAACCTAAGCAACGAGGAAGCCAGGGTGCCGGGTGGTGACAGGCGGGCGAGTCTTCCCATGTGGGTTTAACTTTTGATTGATTGATTGACATCTCACACAGGCAATGGTGATAGGCCTATCTTTCTTTCTTTTCAGCCATTGGACAAAAGCCAAGTTTTGACTTTCTGCACAACTATCACTCAAATGCGGGACATAGTCTCAATTTGTGGGACGCGGGACAAAGGATAAAAATGTTCTGCAGTCCCGCACAAAGCGGGACACCTGGTCACCCTAGGCCGCACTGAAAATAAACTGCTTTGGTACAGCCCATGCATAAACCCTCCGGAATGGGGGGAAACAGATAACATAATAATACATAATAAACTAACAAACAAAGAGATTGCCTTAAATCAACAAAGAAGCCCTACCAAAAAAAACACACTACCTTTTCTGTGTATATATTGTGATATTATCTTAGAATTCCCTTTGCATCTCCTACTGTGCAGTCATTACCCTAACAACTCAGTGTCTAAATAGGGTTTGAGACAAACAAACATAGTAAAACATTTGTTTTTTTACAACACCTGAGTGACACAGTGAGCCTTACTGCTAATGCAAGGTGAGTTTAACTTGACAAGTTATATTCTGCTCCTGTTTACACCTGGCAATAACATGTGTCTTTGGTTTTTCAATGTGAACCAGGAAACACTCACACACACTCTGCTGAGACCAGCACCTAAATACACACATATAGGACTTCTGTAATGTACACACAGCTTTCTTTTCCTGATACCTTTAGAACCAAGTTTACTGTGAGTGTTGAATGTGTGAGCAGACAGTGTGTGTGATTCATCCACAGACATATACAACTAACCTTATTGGTGGAGTCCTTGAAGCCACACTCTCCTTTATCGTACCACCACTTGTTTTTCATCTTGTCTAGGGTCCCTTGCTCATTCAGTTTCAATACGGCAAGGTTTACTGGTACTCTTTAATGGGAATAACATAAATAACATCATTATCAATGTTATCTTATGTTATTAGAGGGGCAGCAGTTCTCACACTTTGGTCTAGCAACCAATACAAGGCCCACTAATGTTTGTGCCATTCCACAGATTGGCTTTCCAACATTTTGCCACATTACTTGGACTTTGAATACCACGTTGAAACGTTTCATTACAATTTTGCAGAATAGAAGTTAAAAGCAAATAATTAAGTTATCTTACCATCTATTGTCAAAGGCTTACATTTTTTATTTTGTGGACCTTTAAGTTTGTTATCACTAATATAAACAACACAAATCTGCCAAAATGATGTCCTTTAATTGTAAGGGACACTATGTTTGGCCCCAGAGACAAAGAATGAGAGGCGCTGCATTGAAAAGCCTTTTTGCTTTTTCAGCAAAAGTACTCCTCCAGGCTAGAGCCATAGATAAACAGAGTTTGTTCAGGTCGACAAACTCTTTATCAACAACCCTGCTCCTGACTGTTGCTGCCATCTGGTATGAGGTCACCTGACCCTGAAGTCTGCCCTAACCCTGACCTCAACCAAACAGGGTGCAACACATCTGTGGAAGAAGCAGCATGGACGACAACGTTACCCGTCGGTAGTTTTTATTAGCAACTCAATTCAGGATGTATTTGTAACATGAGTAATCATTTGTTCTTAGATGTATGTGAAATGCTATAGAGCATTGCTACCTTTACAGGTGGTGTTGTAACTATGCTGCTTCTTTACATTTTTCTTTCTGACAACCCAGTGTTACCTCAATGTTTGTGTTTTAGTGTGTGTGAGTTTGTGTGTGTGTGTGTGTGTGTATGTATGTGTGTGTGTGTGTATTAACCTTGCTCTCCCCTCCTCCGCTGCCGCATTCTCCCTTGTCATACCACCACTTGTTTTTCAGTTTGTCCAGCAGCCCCTGCTCGTTCAACTTTAACACCGCCAGGTTCACAGCATTTCTACATGAACACAGTGGCTGTTAGCAGTTCAGTTGTTGTCAATGTCAGTCCTCCTGCTGGAATGCATGCTAACAGCATGAAATACTTTGGCATACACATAATATACACAGCTGGAATGCTTCTCTTTTTCTTAGCAGCAAACTCATTAGTATTTGATAGAATAATCATGTTTAGCTAAGACCAATCTGCTGAATACCAATGGCAATAAGAATGCTCATGAATATGTTGAGGTCAAATATTTTGATATGCCTTTACAGAATCATATAGATGGGTATGGGTATGAACTGTTTTTGATTGTCTATGACACATTTTCTTTAAATCTTGTTTTAATCTCCCCATGCTCTTTGTTATTTATAAAGAACACTAGACAAAACATCCATGAATCAGCTTCCCGGAGTTTGGTGGCATTGGCAATGTTGTTCACTCCGGTTAAAATGTCAGAGGTTGCCAGCTGCAGCTTATATCTTAGAATTTCATTGTTCTTACTATTATGGTAACATTAAGCAAACTAATTGATATTTTGAATCAGGTGATATCACCAAGAAAAAGGATTCAACAGTGCAACTTAGACAAGCTGATCAGCTGATCAGAAGGGCTGTACACAAACTAAAGGCAAACACTAAGGGTATGTAAAACAAGTTGAACCTAAGGTGGCTCTTTAAACTGAGATACAGGTTAAACACAGATGGGATAGGAATAATCATTTCACCACTCTATTGGTAACTAACCTGCGAAATCCATTTTTAGTGATGTCATCATGTTCCTTTGTGAGTATTTTGGTAGAACTGATGGCCAAACACTAATTGATCCACATTTTTTATTAAGTTAAACTTTAAGTTAAAGTTAAATTATGGCTTTGCGTATCAGAAATGGCTAAGATTTGGTATAAGTTTTGTTTGAGGTTAAGCTTTAGGGAAAAGAAAGGCAGAAGTTAGGGTGAAACATGTTCAGTCAAGGTAAGGGGAGAAAGGCCAAAGGAAAGTTGTGATTTAAAAGTGGAAAACTCTTAAATGTTTTGGCCTACCTCATGTCACTTTTAGTTGTCGCATCACTCAGCTGGACCTTAATCGATATAATAATAGTTGGTGTGGTCAAACCATATATTACTAAATCAGAACTTCTGGTAATTGTATCAGGTAGCTTACAAAGAAAATGCATTTAAGTGTTAGATACTTTTCTTTTTGAAGTTATAGCTACAGGCTGTAAGCATTATAAAAGCTGAATGAATTGCAACATTTTAGCTATTTTTATATTTTTTTCGAATGTTTAAAGCTAGATAAGATTGGATAAATATTGGATGCAGATTCCATAAAATACCATCAAAGTACATGAACATAAAAAACGACTTCCCCATCCCGTGGCAATTAAAATATTTGCCGGCATTCCTGACAAAAATAATGCTTCTTCTTGAGCCAGCCTCACTGCTGTTCATACACGTCTCCATGAACACCATCAATTTGAGTCTGCTAGGAGATTCTTCTCTGGGGTAATTCTGACCTTTTCTAAGTATCAGGCCATTAGGTTTAAGGGATTTTTAACATCTGTGTAACACTCACTTAAAATGATGGTAAATGAAAGTAACAGTAACTCCTGGTCTAACCTTCAAAGGGACTGATTCAAGAATATTTTGAATAATGCACATGGTTTAAGAGTAAGGTTATGCATGCAAAGTATGGAATTGTATTTATCCGTTTTCATCCTGATCAGGAATAATGATGAATGATATAATACATAACATATAACCATTTAATGTCAATATTTTTGAGTTCTTCCTCTGTTTTTTCAGATCATATTAGTGACTGTGGCTTGAGAAGTGAGCCAGTGTCACTTAGGGTTAAATTCCTGAGAAATAGTAAGAAGTGTGTCAAATAAAGTGTTTATTTCTAACTTTCTTCTGTTTCTTCACTATGGGAAAAATACTTTGAAGCTCCTCTGACACAACATCTGTCTGTGACATACCAAATCCCAATTAAACACCATGCCCCAAAGTCATTATCACACTTTTGCCACGAGGAATCTTGCATATGTGAGTAACAGACGTCCTGTTAGAGAATATACCTCCTTTCCTTTGGCAGTTCTACATAATAAAAGGAAAATAAGCTAAACTAAATATTTCAACATAGATAAAGACAGCTCAGCTCATAGCTTAAACCATGGCTTATCATTTAAGTGACATGCAGGTTTTAATCATCAACTCCTTTTTTTGTAGTTTGCACTAGGGCTTTTTAATGTTGTCCTGCAGCCAGAGTCAGATTTTGGGTTTAGCCTGTAGGTTTTCCCGACACATATCTTTCAGTGTTTCACAAACCACCTCAGTGGATGAACAGTAGCTTAACACAGCCCTGTGTGGGCTCTTCTCGTGCTTGTCAGAAAAGCTCATATGCTGCAAAACCCGTGCAACCCTGGGGGGGGGGGGGGGTCTATATTATCCCATAGTGAAAAACAGAAAAAAGTTAAAAAAATGACTTTGGGTTACTTTGTGTAATCATTCCACATAACGTGTACACAGCATCATTTTTGAGAATGCATGAAAGACTTTAGGCTTAAAGTAGTTATTCAGTCATTTTTGCAAAGCAGTTTTACTAAGTTACCCTAAAGAAAATCTTACCTGAGACTAAAACGTTATCTTTCAAAATTCAAGTGTTTTTTCTTTGTTTTACTTTTAAGAGCTGACATATATAAATTCTTGAAATGGAGCAATGACAATCCAGCAGGAAGAGCTTTTTTTCATAAAAGTAATGATGTAATGGCAGGATGTATATGTATATGCAGTGAAATTGGTGCTAGTGAATCAAGCAGGCTTGTTAATAGCGCACTTCACGTATTACGAAGTGATTTATGCATGCTGATTTAGGGCATTTAAAACACTATATTTTGTGGTGTACGAATGTAACTAATAACTTGGCACAGGCTCAGTTCACTTCCAATTTAGTTATTTGCAAATTCAGTGTGACCATCTCATTTGTCATTGACTGAGAAATCATTGCTACATTTTTATATTATGATTTTTACATGCCAAAGGGTTTTTTGTTGGATTTTTTCTTTTTTGAACTGAACCCGCTATTTACATAATAACATAAATCACTTTGACTGCAGTAGTGGAGAAAACAACATTAAATAACAACAGAAAGATCATGCTAGGAGCAGAGACATCGGAAACGTAGAAGAGACGTTTGCAGAAAGTAAGTGAATACTTTAGAGTATGTAGTTCTGAATTAAAATCCTGAATAAAGGCCTATAAAAAAAAAAAGATGTCTCTGGTTCTACCATGTTACAGCACAACAACAACATTCATACATTAGATATATGGAAGGATTGGACATAAAGCTCCATTAGGCGATATTCATAAAACTGAGGTTTTCACTGAGAGAAGTTTGTGAAAGGGTTGCTCGTTGCTGCTGCTGAGTCAGCAACCAACTCTCTAGCTCTAACATCTCGAAGTTCAACTGGTTCTTCCAGATGTTCTCACTGATCCAGATCCCCTAACCACTGCATCCAACTTAAATACATCACACTTGACTAACAAGTTTAATTGAACTGACTGGATGCTATCTGCACTGACAATACAACTGGAAAGCTAAATATAACAAATGGTTGATAAGTTAGTGAAACTAGTGATGAGTGATGCACAATAGTCACATCACAAGACATGCAATGTAATCAAACTCCTACCTGTCATCCTACAACTTAGTTTTTGTGAATACAGGTACACTTGCACTGTTCTCAAGTTCCATACGACAAATCCATTAACTACCTGCAGTCTGTCACAGTTCCATTTAAGTTCTTTGCCATGCTTTGTTGGTTTTTTGCTGTCAGCACCGTTCACAGCTATACGACGATGTTTATGATTAAATTGAGATGAACACAATATAGTTTACAAGAACTAGAACACAATATATTTTACAAGAGCACACAGTGTTTACCTGGCATTTTTAATGTTGACCATGGTACTCAGGTGCAAAAACATAATGCATTACTGAAGCACTGAATATAACCTGACACAATGAGGACCTTCAGCTGTGTGCTGCTCTATAACCTCATTTTGGTGCCCTGTCTTGAAAAAAGCAGATGAACAGGCAGTCAATAGGGGCCAAGCAGTGTACTGTTGTCTCAGTGCATTGTTACAATTAGTCCTTTGGGGTGTTCAGGTTTAAGCTAACAGATCAGACATCATCTTGGTTAGTCAATATACTGAAGTATATCAGACTAATCACTATAACTGTCTATTGCACTTCGGTCTTCAGAAATCGCTTAATGCTGCTTTATGGCAAATTCAACCAATACAAGTAACGGCAAACATAACTCAAAAAGAGCCAACTGGCAGAAAGACAAACAGACAAAGCAGAGACAGATAAGCATATAGCCATCTGTAGTGTGCTGAAACGGAAAAAACAGACTCAGTGACTAGCATGCAGCTCTAGACGCAGCTCTAGACACACACACACACACACACACACACACACACACACACACACACACACACACACACACACACACACACACACACACACACACACACACACACACCACACACACACACACACACACACACACACACACACACACACACACCACGTGGTGTATGTCATATACTTATGAACAACAACAAACAATCCCTTGATTCAGGTCTTAAAGAGCCAGCTCATCATAATTGCTGAAAAAACTGACAACAAATGATCCTTACCAGACAGAATATGAAATCAGTTAAATTGATAAAGCAGCAGATGGGGCTGGAGTATTTCTTTGAGACCTGAAATATCAAACTTGAACAGCCCTCCCCCAGTTGTCATGGCAACCACCACCAGCCAATGGTCAGTTGTGGTAACCATGGTACAAATACAAACCACTGAGAAGATGTCATCAGGGTAGGTGGATTATTATAACAACGAGTAAGCCGCCATGCCCCATTCATCACACTCACATACTGCAACACCCAATTGGCACTAAGGCTTGGGACCAGACTACATTGCTCCCCACGGTGCTTTATTTCCTGAGCAGGGCTGTACATGAACACAGCCACAGTTCACACACTAGCTAAAACTCCCTGACTACTATAGCCGATGGTCAGTAGGTGTATTCCGATCATCACTGGGCTTTAGAGCTCTGAATGAAAGAAATTCTGAAACTACTCTAAATTGTAAATTGACAATAAAACATGTCTCTATTCAAGAAATGAGCTGCGACAGGGGCGAAAACAGAACTAGGCAGCAGGTTAGTAGTGTGAATGGTACATGGCAGTGCAGGTTGGCTAGCATTGTTATACTGATCCACCCACCTTAATGGGGATCCTTTTGGCGTGGCGATGCCGTAGCCTTTGGAGTCGAGGTTTCCTCCCACTTTCATAGTGTCGCAAGGTTTTCTCTGCTCTATGTACTCATTCATGGTGGACTCCAGCAGGTAGGCATATTTCCCTTTGGACTTCCTGACACGCAGGACGCCCTCGGAGGTTTTCTTGACGAAGACAGAGGGTTCTGCTGATTTCATATATTGCCACATCTTGTCAAACAAGGCAATTTTAGAGCGCTGAAAAAAGAGAAATTCACAGATTAGAAACAATGAAACGTTGCAAAAACGTATGTACCGTTAAGTACATTGTATTACTAATGTACACAGGGTGTTTTAAAGTATAATGTGGAATTTTCGTGTAAACACATTTGTATCATTGAAGTAAAATGAATGCACCTCATTGAAAAACATTTACAGAATACTGCAAAACCTGCATTATTTAAATACATGTTTCAATCAATTCTGGTTTACCTGCTGCAACTGCCGATCAGTAGAACACTGTAAACGTTAGCCGGAACAACCATCGCAACTCCTACTTGTAGATTTTATGTAGCCATTGTTATCTTTGTTTTGGATTGTGAAGTTGCTATTTGCATGCCCCTTACCCTGAAGAACTCTTTGGTTGATCCAGAGTCGAGGGTTCCATATGTGATATCTGTCTGTTTAGCCAGGTCTTCAGCACTTTCGATTGGAGAAACCATTCTCTCAACCGTCAGGAAAGCTGCCAGGTTGGCAGTGTATGATGAGATGATAATCAGAGTGAAAAACCACCACACCCCCCCCCACTATACGACCGGACAGGGACCTGCATAGACAAACAAACACACACACGCACAGTTTGTACAGTCTCATGACTTGAGCACTGATATGAGAAGTTCAAGGGCTAGCGTGGAAGACGATGATCAGTGTTCATTAGAATGATCGTAAGTCTCTGACCGGTTGTAATATATTTATGCCCTGTATGACAATGTTTTTGACCATTTAATTAGCCTTATAGTGCGTTCACACAGGATTGAATCTTCGCATTGCGTTACTAGCACAAGTTTGACTGCGGCTTTCATTTGTGTTTACTTGCATCACTCAAACAAGGCTTGCTTGCGATAAGGCGGGGCTTATCTCCATGTAGATACCAACAACAATATCAACATATTTTTGCCATGATTTAATTGTAATACACATATCAAAATGATACCGGTTAGTAAAAAACATGAATTGACATTGATCAGAGTTTGAAAGCTAGAAGAATAGAAGAATAGAAGAAGAATTGGGAGGGATGAAACCCTCTTTTTAATGGTCACACATGCAGAGCACACAGCACACAGCACACACAGTGACATTTGTTCTCTGCTTTTAGCCCATCCTAGTACCAGGAGTCTAGTACTAGGAGCAGTGGGCAGCTATTGTACAGCGCCCGGGGAGCAATGGGAGTGACGGGGGAAGGGGGGTGTCCGGTGCCTTGCTCAAGGGCACCATGGCAGGGCAGGAGGTGAACTGGGACCTCTCCAAGTAGTAGTCCACACTCCATATTTTAGGTCTGTTCGGGGACTTGAACCGGTGACCCTACAGCTCCCAGTCCAAGCCCCCACTGACTGAGCCAATGCCGGACAATGAGTGAATAAGTGAACTTTGAGAGATTTCTTGAAGGATTCAAGAGTGTTGGCCTTTCGGATGTGACTGGGAAGGGGGCTGCAGCAAAGGCCCTGTCACTCCAGGTCCAGAGGGAGGGCTGCAGCGAAGACCCTTTCACCCCAGGTCCAGAGGGAGGGGGAGGCTGCAGCGAAGGCCCTGTTACCCCAGGTCCGGAGCTTTGTCCTGATTGGCTGTAGTAGGTTAGCTTCAGCAGACCTGAGGCGACGGGTAGTGGTGTGTGGTTGGATGAGGTCACTGAGGTAGGGGGGGCAAGGTTGTTGATGGTTTGAAGTAATATTTTGAAGTCAATCCGGTGTTTGATGGGGAGGTCCTGGAGGATGGGGCAGCGGAGTTTTGGACATATTGCAGTTTATTGAGGATGTATATGGGTGAACCGTAGAGCAGGGGTTCCCAAAGTGGGGGTCGATTACAAATTATTTACCAATTTCTTTATTATTATTATAAATAATAACGTGTGCATAGACATTTATCAGGGGTGGACTGGCCATCTGTAGAATTTCCCCGCAGCGAGGTATCCCCCCGTTGACAATCCACTAGCGCACCCGCACCCCCCCCCCCCCCCACCGTTGACAAATCACTAGCCCCCCCCCCAATGTTCTTTAACCAGTTAAGCCCCGAGCCTGTTTTTCAGGTCTCAGGCTCCAAAATGACAAATTACTATATCTTCATTTCTAAAAGGGGTAAATTAATCATCTTTTTTCTCAAAGCAATGCTAAACCTGTGAGTTGGATGTAGAAAAGTCAGAATCAATATAGAATTGTTTTATTTTAAAGTTAATTCAGATTGAACATGGTAAAAAAAAGTAAATTATAGTGTCCGTCCTAAAAAAAAACATGACTTATAGTGAAAACCACCCTTGAATGATGGGTTAGTAGACTAAAAGCTTTAGGAATCCAAACTATAACATATAATAAGTACCCTGTATCAAGATTGATGCAAAACAAGTGACATTTTACCTTTTTAGAGAGATTTAGAAAAAATAAAACACTACTGGGGTCATTTGGGTGCATTTTCCATATCTCTGGACTCCCTGTCGATTTTCATGATTGACACCTCTTTTTAACCGTTAGAGCCAATAGAATCGAGGGGAAGTTCCTAACATCCATCTAAACATTACCATTGGTGAATGAGAGTGATGCGCAGCCAGCATGCCCAAAACCGGAAGCTGGGTTACAGCTCTCATACACTCTGGGTGTTTCTCAATCGCGAGTAAAGCTGCTGCAGAGCCACTATTTCAAGCATACTACGTCATCGAGTGCCGCCGAAGTACTGTTCCAATCTCCAGCATACTTGGAAATCTACCGAGCCCGGCGTACTCCGTTTGGAGAAATATCGAGGCTGGACATGAGTAGACTCCACGGTCTTAAAATCCCCACAATGCTTTGCGCACGGACCAATTTCCCCAAATCTGTGGCGGAAGATGTAAGGCCGGGCCTCTCATATGACGCACACCTGCACACTTGCTAGCCTGTTCCACTCGTTGTTTTCCGAATGGCAGGAAGTATTCTTGCCTCGCTTCTGAAGCAAGATGCTCGGCAGACATGTGCTACCAAGCAAGCGTACTCGCGATTGAGAAACACCCACAATATGAAAACTACTCTTATTGACAAAATGTTATGATGGATTATCAGTAATCATTTCAAAGTGACACAAAGACGTTGGATTAACCTTCAGCAGCGTTTTTATGCGTTGTAATGCCATTGAACACAACTTTTGATCAGAAAACAGCAAAGGTAAGACGTATTTGCCGTTTTGGCCCCGTAAAGTGAAGTTATGTGTTGTCTTTGCTTGCCTTCGCCGCCGCGAGTTTTAGTCTCACAGTGATGATACTTATACCATTGGAATCTTTCATCTTTTCATATGCTATCTTGTGCAGATCCGATGAAGTATAAAAGATCGCTACCGTAAGTTATGTGCTAAGTGCGTTAGCACTCTTTCGCTTAGTGCTAATTCAGACGCTCGGCATTAGAGTTGTGTTTTGTTTCGGTAAAAATGGTTCATATCGTCAGTTAGCTGAGTTTGTTATTACGTCGTTTGAAGGTTCATCTGCATTTATATCTCCGTTCAGGCTTACTACCGCTCATTCATGCCAATGCATGAATGAGCGGTAGTAAGCGCCCAACTAACTTTTAAGCTTATCTCCGTTATCTCGATCTGTGGTAGTGATTTAAAACAGTGTTGAATGCACCACATTTCATGTTTAGGGTGTGTTAATATGTGTTAAAAATTCTGGGGTGAACAACTTAATTTAACTAGAGAATGCAATTCCTGAAGAAATTGCTAGTGGGAATGCTTTATGCTGAAAAGCTGATGCTGAATTGCTATGCTGAAATGTAATGTGTAAGAAGAAAGTGAAGAATTTAGATTGAAATTATACATGAACACTGGGGGCTTGAATGTGTGATGAGGGAAGAAAAGAAAGTAGAAAGGCTTGGAAAAGCAGCAGAATATTTGAACTGCAAACTATTGCACTAACTTGATGGCGAATGATCTGTCGCCATGGCAACGGTATTTGATGACACCCTATAATACGCTTAGATATGTTGATGGCTGCATTGTTACCAAACCTGTTTGGAGCATTTTCACTGAAGTTATGAGAAAACCGTGTTTCATGGTGAGCATTGTGTTGCCATGGCAACGGCATTTGAAGAAATCTGAAAACTGTCCCGTAGATGTCTTCACGGCTGGACTGTTAGCACACGTGAAGTTTTAGCACTTTTTGACCATTTTCATAGGAGTTATAGCAATATCATGTTTTGTTGCCATGGCAATAGGTTTTGAGGAAAACTCACTAATGGCACATAGACATGTTGAGGGCTGGACCATTAACTGTCATCTGAAGTCTGGTGGTGTTTTGACCATTTTCAAATCAGTTACGACAACATCGTGTTTTTTGGCGAGGGATGCGTTTCCATGGAAACAGCCTATGGTGAGATCTCAGATTTTGCGTAGAGCTGTTGAGGCATGGACCGGTGATATACAAGCGAAGTTTGGGGACGATCGGACCGTGTCCATTGGAGTTACAGCGACATCGTGTTTTATGGCGAGGGATGCGTTTCCATGGAAACGGCATATGATGACACCCCATAATTGACATAGAGCTGTTGAGGGCCGGACCATTAACCATTATCTGAAGTCTGGTGCTGTTTTAGACTATTTGCATAGGTATCAGGAGAACATCATGTTTTCATTTCATTTCATTTCAAACCTTTATTTATTCAGGTTGTATCCCATTGAGATCATTTGACCTCTTTTTCAAGGGAGACCTGCTCAAGTAGGTTCCACATGAAACATTAAAAACATAAACAGAACAACAAAAGGATATCATACAGTAGCATTACAGGGATTACAAATTACATACTATCCACATGCACAGGTACCAACAGCTTCCGATTCAGTAGCATCCAACCGAGCTTTAAAAACATTTAGTGGCACCAGATTGCTCAGTTTCCATTTTAATTGCAGACTATTCCAGGACAGTGGAGCTGCGCATCTAAATGCTATTTTCCCTAAGACAGTCCTAGCAGTTGGCACATTTAATAAAACCACAGCATGCGATCTCAGGCAGTAGCCACTTACAATTCGCCGTGAGATCAGGGAGCAGATGTAGGATGGAAGTTTCCCTAACATGGCTTTATATATAAAAATGTACCAGTGACTGAGCCTCCGTACAGTTAGCGAAGGCAAACCAGCCCTTGCATACAGGGTACAGTGATGAGTTAATGCTTTACAGTCTGTCACAAATCTCAGTGCACTGTGATACGCAGCATCTAACTTGACCAGGCAATTGGCAGGTGCATTCATATAAATCAGATCACCATAGTCCAGCACAGGTAAAAAGGTCACAGTGACTAGCCTTTTTCTGGCCTCGAGCGAGAAACAGGACTTGTTCCTGTAGAAGAAACCTAGTCTAACCCTTAGTTTTTTAAGCAGGTTATTGACATGACGTTTAAAAGTGAGACAATCATCAAGCCAGATACCAAGGTATTTGTAACAGGCAACCACTTCAAGTTTTATTCCTTGCGTAGTTAAAATATCTAAAACAGGCTCTGGTGTCTTTTTGGCTTTTGAAAAGAGCATTACCTTGGTTTTATCAACATTTAAAAGAAGCTTTAGTTCAGAGAGCTGAGTCTGAATAATGTTAAAAGCAGTTTG